TAACAGCTACATTCAAAGTACATTTCTCAGACGTTCAGAAGCTCCGTCTTATTTTAGTACCAGTCAAACCGATAGCAGTGACAATATCCAAGATCTTTGCATACTTAGCCAAACTAATAACCCACACATACAAACAATAAAAAAGCAACATCATACAGGTAGTTGTAAAACCTCGTATACCACAATATGTTTTTTGTGATTAGATGCTTAAGTCTTGAAGCTGCTATCACCATAGAGATCAAACAAAGTTTGAATCTGGACACTGTCTCCTTTTCACCCTGAGTACATGAAACATCCCTCCAGGTACGGCCACAGGCACTCGTCCTCAGCCTTTACCTCATCATTTTCTCTGTTGACAGTGTTGTCCTCCGTCTCCATTTTGGCTTTTTCTCCAAATCTTCAGTCCATAAATGACTCTACTCTATGGAGTTGTCCTTTGCTTACGTCATAGGTCCTTTGCTTACGTCATAGGTAGTTGGCGTGTTGGCAATCTGAGAGCCTTGTTGACTACAAAGATGTAGATGAACAGTTTCTTTTTTTTTAAAGAAAGTCTTAAGACCAGTCTTAAACTGGACAACGTGTCAGCCTCAGGGACAGAAACTGGAAGTTGGTCCCACAAAAGAGGAGCCTGATAACTGAAAGATCTTCCTCTCGTTCTGCTTTTGGAAACTCTAGGAACTGCGAGCAGTCTGAGAGCAAAGTACTCTGTTGGTAAAATATTGAACAATAAGATTTGTAATATAAGATGGAGGTAGGTTGTTGAGAGCTTTGTAGGTTAGAAGTTAGATTTTGAATTCAGTTCTGGAATTGACAGGGAGCCAGTGGAGAGAAGCTTAAACTGGAGAGATATGATCTCTCCCACTAACTCCAGTTAAGACTTCGGCAGCAGCATTTTGGATCAACTGAAGAGTTTTTAAAGAAGTATTTGGACATCCAGATAATAAACCATTGCAATAGTCCAGTCTAGATGTGACGAATGCATGAACCAGTTTTTCTGCATCATTTTTGAAGAGGGATACTGTACACAAACAGAATTATACTTTCACTGATTACCACCTTGAAATCCTTTGTACATTTTACTCATTCACTATATCACACCCTTGCGCTGCAATGCTGGCTTCCCCTTGTACACATCAGTCAATATCAGCTCTGTGACTACAGCCCTTGTCAACTTGATTCCGTCATTATTTCTTGAGTACCTTGCACATGAGACCAAAGTGAGAAGAGTGCTTTTCATGTTCTTTTTGAAAGTACAGGGTGATAGTCTAGTCTCTTACCTTACCCATCCTAGTTAACTTCTTCCCCTAAACTCTTACAATACTTAAACATTACTTTTGGTCTAGCTACAACCCTAAAACAAACTCTTAAATGTTTCTCAATTTGACTCAAGATCTAATCCACAAACTTCAAACCTCACAAGGAGCTATATACAGGGGAACTCATGAAAACAAATAACGTTGTACAGGGTGCGGTGTAGGATGTGGATCAAACCACTGTTGCTAGTCTGTGATCACAAGTAGCTTGCTTTGTTTTACAAGTTTGTCTGCATTTTTTTTTTCTTCCTAATACTAACAGTATGTTTGGCTCATTCTCTTCTTTTGTGTAAATTGGAACAGAAGCTCCTGAACAAGAAGGGTGTAGAAGTAACTTCATGGGTACTGTAACAAAAACCAAGAATGTATTATTAGCAATAACGCATTGGAGAGATGGGAAATTAATAAGCGACTCAAAGTAGAGACTGTGGTAGTGCAGATGGTGTTGCTGATATGATTTTTGAGTCCTTGAATTTGGATTTATGTTTTTGGGTGTTTCAGGAAGTGGAAAAAAAAAAATCCAAGGAACCTTTTGAATCCTTGCTGTATAGTAAGCATTTCCTTTATGATTCAATTGAATTTTTGAACAGAGTTTTATATTAAAAAAAAGTTTTCAACTCTAGGCCAATTTATGGTGTTGGATATCAGCATGCCTGGGGCTTCACCCTTGCCTGCCACCTGGCTTGCACAGCACCAGACCTTGATCAAACTCCTGGAAAGTGGTGTGCTCGTGGGGCGGTGGTTTCCTATATTTTATTCTGGCTGTCCCGACAAGAGCCAAGGCTCGACAGCCAGACCCTCACTGATCAGGCTCCAGCTCTAGCTCCAGAAGGTGACACAGGTTTTCCTGTTCTGTTTGAGGATGCCCTTTTTAAAATCTGGTCCTCCTTCTTTAAGGTCATCAAATTGCTCTTAGTCTGACCCCTCCCTTGAGGTCAGTTTGTCGTTGGAGATCATGCCACAGGCTAACACTCCAGACAGCACAGCCCCAGGGCTCATAGGTACACTCTAACCTCTCTACAAGGTGGTAATTCTGTGTAAGAGTTGATCTGTTGCTTCCATGACATCACACCGCAATGCAAGTTTTTAATCCCAGACTGTTGTGTTAATATGACCTGATATGTTCCCAACACAGATTTCCTCCAAATGTATGTTTAAATGCATATTTTATTTCTTGTCTTAGAATAGGGAACATTACTTATTTAAAATGTATTTCTACAACAACAACAAAAATCACTGAAAATCAATGCTGAAATGAGCAGTGATTAATCTTTGAAAAGCAAGGCTAGTCTTTACTGAAGTATTCACTGATCTGAACATATGATGTTTCCTCTGTTTGGTGCTTTGTTATCCCAGGTGAGACATATTGATATTAGGCTTCCCCAGACGTGCTGTCTACAGTCAAAATGATCAAAAATGGACAAAAAAATACAATTATAATTGGGGTTGTGTCAATAGTTTTAAGTTCCAATTTTGAAGCTCTTCTGCATGAACTCACTTGAAAATATAGGTTTTTGAACAAGTTTATATGAACTTAAAAGAAGAAAACAGAGCTGAATGGCAGACTGTAAAATGTGTGTTTAAAAAAGAGGTAAACTTGACAGGTTAAGCACAAGAGTAGGAGTCAGGTCTGAAAAGGATTGAAAGCAGATAAACAGTATCTGAAAGTTATGTCTTTAAGAAATGGAATAAAACCTGACAGGACTTCAGAGATCCTTCATCTGATCATCTGCTGCATGTCAAGCTTTAAACTAATATCTCTTTGGGATTCCCCTTGTTGGAACTGAAATGTGTGTCGTACAATTATCTGTTGTTGATAGATTCATTTAAAAAATGTGAATAAATACCATACCACTTTATTTATAAAGCACTTTAAACAGCACCATGGCCAACCAAAGTGCTGTACAGAAAAAACAAAACAAGCAAAGGACACGGGATAAAATGCATTGATCCAAATATAATAAAGATAAGAACTAAATGACTAACATTATGGAATACAGACAAGTTAGAATCAGCTCGCACAGTGTCAAAAGCCAGGTAATAAAAGTGAATTTTTAAACGAGACTTAAAAACGATGAGAGAGGGAGCCTGCCTGATATGCAGTGGTGAGTCATTCCACAGTTTTGGACCTGCAACAGAGAAAGGCCTGTCACCTCTGAGTTTAAAACGAGTTCCTGGAACCAATAAATGCATCTGATCTGCTGACCTCAGAGCGTTAGGGGACATATGGCTGCAGCAGATCAGTGAGATAAGAGTAAGTAATAAGAGAAACGAATAAATTGCATCATTGTAATGGGATGCATGTGACTAAAGTGCTTTAAGATCAGATGTATAATAGTTTCTGTTTACATAATGCAGGGTCATTTATAATGTTTGGACTTTTCCATGTCTGCTTGATTCATAGATCAGAATTAAGTAGCTTAAGAAACAAAACATTTCTCTTAATACTGGACTAAAAATGAATGAAAAAGCAGTCCAAGGTCAAAGAAAAACTTTTTTGAGAAAACCATCAAATGTCAAGAAGACTCCTTTTAAACATTATAAGAAAGTCAGACTCCTTAAAATCTTCTTAACCCATATTTGTTGTATGAATTCTTAAGACTGGACAAGCATTGTATTAAAATATATAATCACAATGAGTTGTGGTTAAAAAATAAATAAATAAATAAATAAATAAATAAATATATATATATATATATATATATATATATATATATTATATATATATATATATATATATATATAATGGTTTCTATCCAATGCCAATGCTGCTTTTGTTAATATTTAGGAAATCCAACCATTGTTGCCTCTTCGGTAATACTGGGGCATTTTACTTTATTGAAAACCTTCCTAAACCAAAAAAAAAGTACTATTTTATTAGACTCATAGTGTAATGCAGGACAATCTAGTTGGATGTTATTCCCATTCCTCAATTGACACCATTCTCTACAAATAAACTAAACCACAGATTTTTAGAAGAATGAGATTCAGTGTGTACAGCATAACTACCATTGACGTTAGAGAGCAACAAAATATGCAGAAAGCATTTCTTCTGTATAAATATTGATTTACACCAAGACGCATCAGCTGCTGCTGCAACTCAGGTTGTTGAAGCTGATGGTAAAAAAACAAACGGTTTCTGATCAGCCTGGTGTTTCTCAAAAAGACTGTTTAGCCACTGGAAATAATTTTTTATCAAGACATTTTAATCTCTTAGAAACAGGTCATTGGTTCACTTTCTCAGGGGATAATGCACACTTGATGATTTGTAGAAGCCGAGGCATCTTTGTTTTATATAACGTACAAGAACCTTTTCCCATATTTCCTTTCGTTAGTTTTACTGATGGTCGTATGAACTTGGAAACACATACTGTGTTTGATGTTTAAAATGGATTCAAATTCAAACTGGAATTAACCAAGTCAGAGTTTTAGGGAGACGCAGAGCTGTGAATGGTTTGTACGACAGAAGGACATGCTGTGCCTCTAGTTTTATTTCCAACCCCACGTTGTACGTCTCTACAATGTGTGTGGGGACGATATTCAGTAAAACGCAGAAAACTGCTTGCTGTTAGCAAAGTCTATTTTCTTGGATGCACAAAAATAAAATGGAACTCCTTGATCTTTTTTTTGTCTCAACGTTTTATCCTCCTCCCTTTACTCAGTGTGGCTACTTTTCTTTCCTCCTAGGAATCCCCCCAGGACAGTGCAATCACCAGAGACATTAACAGGACATTCCCGGCTCATGACTACTTCAAAGACACTGGAGGAGATGGGCAAGATTCACTTTACAAAATCTGCAAGGTGGGACTCCCAACACACACGGAGGTGGTTTATTTTTCTGTGAAGTCAACGCTGCAAACTATGCAGAGTCATAACAGCGACTTCACGTAGCGCACAAATCTGCAGCTACCACGCTAAATGAGGTGTAAACCGTTTTGAATCACATCTCCAAAAACAAATCAGCAGCCCTCTTTCCTCAGCTTTGTTCCACACCGACTATTATACTTAAATTTATTAAACTATTTTATGAATCTCGTTACAAGACATCTGTTTCATTTACAGACTTAAAAAGTGAGTAAGCACACCTAAAACAATAGTATTTTAGTTTGTACATAAAGTTAAAAGCTACATATTGTACAAACCCCTGTAGAAGATGAACAGAAATCAAACTACCGTAATTTCCAGACTATTGAGTGCACCTGAATATAAGCCGCGCCTACTAAATAAAAAAAGAAAAAAGTTTTGTACACATATAGGCTGCGCTTGTGTCCACATTGTAACGAGATATTTACAGAGACATATTTTTTTAAACGCTTAATAAAATTCTGTAGCGTGGCAGCACAGCTACAAAGAGAGATGTGCAGCTCTTGTTGTAGATCAAGAATGAACCACGAGATGACATTTCATAGGCTTTATTTTACTTTTCAACACACACAGACAGAGTGGACCCCACAGGTCTTCATGACAACTACCTCCATCACTCATGGTTACTCTACTGAATGGCCTAACACATAATGAACACATAAACTAAGCTAACAAGAACAGGCTAATCACTAAAAGAGCAATGCTAAACCAATAACTGAAATGATTAACAGCAAATTCTACCCACAATCCTCTCTGAGGCCATGTGACTTGACAGTCAGCCATAGCAGAATGCTACAATATTTACTGGTAACATACTAGTACACAAATGGGTACAGTGAATGTTTTTTTTCTCAACAGTGCCTGTAACTGTGATTCGGGATTTGTTCACGAGTGAGGGAAGAATGGAACATGAGATTGACAGATTGGTGCAGCGTCTGCAGTATTGCAGACTCTGTACCGGTCTGTTGTGGTGAAGAGAGAGCTGGGCTGTAAAACAAAGCTCTCTGTTTACTGGTCGGTCTACGTTCCTACCCTCACCTATGGTCACGAGCTCTGGGTAGTGACCGAAAGAATGAGATCGTGGATACAGGCGGTTGAAATGAGTTTCCTCTGCAGGGTAGCTGGACTCTCCTTTAGTGATAGGGTGAGAAGTTCAGTTATCCGGGAGAGACTCAGAGTAGAACCACTGCTCCTCCACATCGAGAGGAGCCAGTTGAGGTGTTTTGGGCATATGGTAAAGATGCTCCCTGGGCGCCTCCCTAGGGAGGTGCTTCGGGTATGTCCGACTGGGAGGAGACCCCCGGGAAGACCCCGGCCACGCTAGAGAGACTGTCTCTCGGTTGGCCTGGGAACGCCTTGGGGTTCCCACAGAAGAGCTGCAAGAGGTGACTGTGGAAAGATGTCTGGGCCTCCCTGGCTAAAATAAATAAAAAAATTACAGTAGCCTACCAGGAAACTGATGGCTGTCTTCATCTTCTTCCTGTGCACTGTGCCCCCCATCCCTGGGAACACAACAGGGAGGAGAGGAAACAACCCCCCTGCCCCCCGAAACCAAGTTTCATTGGTCCACTGTGACCAGTCTGCTCATTTCATTGGTCAGATTAATTTAGTCACAAAGATCCACCCCCAAAGAGAGAGACATGTATTGGGCAGCTCTGTGAGCGCCCAGGTGTGACGAGGCTAAATGTTTTGGTGGCATGAAGATCGTTGGCCTGTAAAAAAAAAAAAAAAGAAAATCCTTAAATTAGCCGCAGTGTTCAAAGCCTGTGAAAAAAGTAGTGGCTTATAGTCCGGAAATTACGGTATTTGGCTTATCTCATTTGTGAGATATTATCAATACAATTACTCTGTTTAAACATCCTGATGCATGCTCAATAATCCAGGTAGAAAAATCTAAAAAAGTTAAATCTGGTCCTCTGGACATTCAAACAAACAAAACAAAAAAAAGCACAACAAAATTAAAAAACAGCACCTGAGACTGAAGAAGTCTTTCGGATGAAAGACGAAACGCTTCTACAATTTTTTTGTTTTGTCTTTTTGAATGTCCATAGGACCAGATTTAACTTTTTTAGATACGTTGTTTAAAGTAGGGGTTTATTTATTTATTTATTTTTTTTGCTATAACCTGCATTCACAGTCTTGACATTTAAAAAAAAAAATTGCATCTATAAAACTCTGTGCTTTAACTTATTTTCTTGGATGCACAAAAATAAAAATATGATCTTGATTTTTTATTTTTTTTGTCTCTGCCACATTCTATCCACCTTTCTTTACTCGGCATATCTACTTTTTATAAACGGGTGGGATAAAAAAAAAATTAGTTTTATTTTAAATGAAATATGCAGAAATAGTGGCTTTATTTGCATAAGAGAGTCATAAACGCACTCAAAACCAAATCTAGAAGATGAATCAGAAAAACAAATGAGTAAAAGAAAATAAAAATTTTAAGATATTAGTGAACTGATATACCTTTAGATGTATATAATTGTTTAGATTTGTAACAAATTACCCAATATAATTGTATAAAAGTAGATTTTATTGCCAAAAACAACTGGTAAGAAGGCAACTGCTTCCAGATTGTTAGTCGAGCAGCAGCGAGGGTTGTCAGTGCGACGCACGAAAGGATTAATTAACTCTGCCACTCTCTGCCTGTTCGGTTCAGTGGGTTCACAATTTAACAGAAGAGCAAAACAAGTTTCTATCAGAACACAAGACCCAGCAAAAACCACGCAGTCGTGTTGGAATGACTAACTGCAAACTAACTTACAACCGGTCATAAAATATTTTGATCTTCAAATGTCAATGAGAACAAAAACACATTTCTGATCCTGAATTTACAATGAAAACGTATATTTGTTTAATGGTTTCTGGATGGACCAACGGCTGTTTTTTTCCCCCCAGTTTTCAGTTTCATTAAATTTATTATGGATAAATCTTGTGAGGGCATTCATCTCTTCTCTGACAAGCAGCTCCTCAGGTGTATTTGAATAATTCACAGGCTTTTCCTGTGCGTACGGATTGATCCACACTCAGCTTGACTTCCACTTATTATTTGTGTTTCTAGTTCAGTGGGACACGTTGGTCCTCTCGCATAATTACTTCTCTTTGAAAATACTAACTTTTCTCTTTATTTTATTATCGTTTGAAGTTTTTTTTTGTGTGTTTTTTTCAAGCACATTTTAAATTAAAAACTTCCACAGAAAAAATGTGAAATATAAAAATGCTGCAAAATGCAAGTGCTTTGTCACTTTTTACAACACAAATGTTTGATTTCTGTGTTGATGAGCAGACAATAAGTAAGCATTTAACTGTTTTAAGGAGGGATGCACAATATTGGATTTTTGGCCGATATGCTAAAACTTATTTGGCTGATAACCAATATTTTATATACTTTCATTGTCAGAACATAGCCCTCTTATTTAGGCTTATTTGCTACAACAATTGTGTAACAGTTGTAAGAGCTGGTGACATATATTCAGTAACAGCCATATGATATGCACTTTTACTTATATTAATTGAAAAGTGTTAAATGTTATTTATTAGCATTAGTCACCTTTGATGCTGTCTCACTTGTGGAGGCTTGTTCCGAGTTCCTAGCTGCAGTGTAGGATCCTCTGCACTCTTGTGCATGAAGGACAGCCTTTTTAAGTTCAAAGTTTTTGTCTATCCATTGTGCTGTAAGACTAATCATGCTAACGGTGCTAACACGACGTCCAAATGTCTGTGGTAAAACTCACCCAAGTGCTATCAGCTATTAGCTTCTCAATGACGTCGGAAATGACGGCTTGTAACTCGGATAAGGCAACGTTGGAAAAATATCTCCAACTGGGGGCGATGTAGCGAGGCTCAATGTAGTCCAAAAATCTTCGGAATCCAATATCCTCAAGGAAAAAAACCTTCCACACCGCCGACATTTTGAATTTTCCTCTCCACCGTGAGATCAGGTAGACCCGCGTGACGTCACCACGTTGTGCTGCCGCTGCAGGTGACCTTGTCATACAAAAACGGCGTCTTTTATATCGGAGAGTTATTTTGATAGAATGGTCGATGTTCAATATTGAACTTTAACGCTAATATCGACCGATACCATGTCGATAATATTGTGCATTCCTAGTTTTAAAGGTTTTTACTTTAGGCTCAATCAAAATCTGAATGCAGCACTACAACTTAATTTATTGATTTAAACTACTGTATTTTCTGGTGTATAAGTCGCAGGTTTTTTTTTTTACCTAGATTTGTCAGGCCTGCGACTTGTATACATTTTTCCCCCCATATTCATAAGCAATTTTTGACTGACGCTTTTAATTTCTAAGAACTGCGGCAGCGAGTCCTCCCATATGCGCTCGCTTCACTCAGCTGGTGCAGGCGGAGGAACGCTGGAGAGCTAGCTGCTCCGGCTGAGATGGATGGATGCTGCCCAGGCGAAATGAAGCTGTTTTGAACATTAAATAAATACATAATAAATGCGACTTATACGCCAAAGGGACTTATTTATGTTTTTTTTCCTCTTCACGATGCCTTTTTTGACTGATGCAACTTGTACGCCGGAAAATACGATAGTTAATTTGTTAAGCCCTGGTCAGGTTTTCCAAAAAGAGCCATGAAAAGAGTGCATACACATCTTCAACTCTTTAACTTTTTTCTTATATTTTTGTGTAAACTCTTCTAACTGTACACCTGTTGTTATTCTCCTTCAGGCCTATTCTGTTTATGATCAGGAGATTGGTTACTGCCAGGGACAGTCCTTCCTGGCTGCGGTGCTGCTACTACACGTGAGTTCACATCACAGAAGGGCCCAGAAAAACCTTCTGAACCGTGTCCAGAACCGAGACGGCTTGTTTGTGTTTTCATTCATCATCTTCTCAGACTGTAACAGCTCTGGGAGGTTAGCTCGGATTGTTTTAGGTCTAAATTCTTCAGCACCTAGATTTCAGATAAGATGCTCTCTTGAGAAATACAGTTTGATTTGTAAATGCATCTATGTCTTTAAGTTTCAGTTTGCTGCCTCTTATCCAACTACTCAAGTGTAGAGACTAACACTGCCATCTAGTGGAGGAACAAAGGTTTTTAGTTGTAATAACTTGTAAAGTTTTAAAAATAAAATGACACAGTTTGCTGAAAGTCTTTGCTGTCTTCAGATGCCAGAGGAGCAAGCTTTCAGTGTTTTGGTGAAGATCATGTTCGATTACGGGCTCAGGGACCTTTTCAAACAGAACTTTGAAGATCTGCACTGCAAATTCTTTCAACTTGAAAGACTCATGCAGGTTTGTGTGTTACATTTGCACGTCTCTGGTGCTGAGTCGTACGCTTTTATTAGACGGTTGTGTTTACCAGGCTGTTGGTCGGCTGCTGGATCCTCCCCGCTCGTTTTTGTCGTCCTGCGTTTTTATTTTCCACGTGCTCCTCCTGTTTTTCTGTACTTGCATGTCCTTTAGATTTTGTTTATTTAGCCATGTTTGTCTTTTTAGGAGTATATACCTGATTTGTACAACCACTTCCTGAATGTGGGTCTGGAGGCCCATATGTATGCTTCTCAGTGGTTCTTGACCCTCTTCACAGCCAAGTTTCCTCTTTACATGGTCTTCCATATAATCGACCTGCTACTGTGTGAGGTTGGTCATTAAAATTACGTTTTATAGCAAGTATTTCATACAATTTAGATAAGACTGTTACACCTCTACAGTCCTTTTTTTGTTAAAAGCAACCTTTATTTGGTTTTGCTTCTATGTGCACATTTAAACTGACAAAATATCCTTTAAATAATGTTGTCTTGTTTACTTTGGCGTCTGGTTTGATATAAGTGGTTAGTGGACTGTAAAAATTGTATTTAATAAGTAATGTAGTTGAAAATTTTGGTGGATAAGACTTCCACAAGGGTCACAGAAAAGCTTAAAGGTTGCATTTTAAAAGAATTCAAATAAATTACAGCATACTTTGTGAAATCCACAACTGATCAGATACATTTTTAACAAAATCCTGATAATGGATAATGTCACAATGCTGTAATTAAGATTTACAGCAGATAGACACTGAAAGCAAGTGAAAGGTTCATGAAATTTTACACAGACGAATGTATTTTTCATTCAATTTGAAACTGATCTTTACGCAAATTGTGGGAGCTGAGCAGCTCGGTAAGCTTCATAGAGCGCACGCCTGCAGTTTCTGACGGTGCAGGTTTAAAATAAAGAAATAGATGATCAGAGTTTAAAAGTTGAGATATAAAACAATTATTTAAAACTGTTCTTTTTTTATGTATTTACAATGTTTTTAAAATGTCGTACAGTGTTTTGTTGTAAAATGTGTTATGTAAATACGGAGTCATAAAACTTTATTGTATTAATTTCTCCCTTTTCGTTTTTGTTTTCAGGGTATTAGTGTGATCTTTAATGTAGCTTTGGCACTTCTGAAGGTGAGCTTCATCACAAAAATGAACACGCACACACACGCATTCATCTGAGAGTAATAAACCGGCAGATTTGATGAAAGTTCATTTTTTAACGAAACTACTTTTTCCTCGATTGTGTTGCTTGTCACTACATAAATTAAATTTAATTTTGCTTGAGATGATGTTTTACTGGTTCTTCTAAAAAAAATTTTGAACATCACAAAATGGTTGAATGTCTTTATAATTTTTCAAATCATTTCAGAAAGTGAAACTAATATTTTATATAAATTTAATACACATTAAGTTAAATATTTTAAGCCTTCATTTCTTGTCATTTTGATGATTATGGGTTACAAATAATGAAAAAACAAAACTCTCAAAAACTTAGAATTTGTTCCATATTGGAAACTTATGCACACTATGCACAGACGAATCCTAGACATTAGCTACAATTATTCCTCAAGTCAATCCACTCCTGAACCAGTGACAACATGAGCAGTGTCTTACTGCTGAGGAGAAAAAGAACTGGACTGTTGCTCAGTGGTCCAGTGTCCTCTTTTCAGATGAAAGTAAATTTTCATGTCATTTGAAAATCAAGGTCCCAGAGTCTGGAGGACGAGTGCAGAGGCCCAGAATCCACGTTGCTTGAAGTCCAGAGTGAAGTTTCCACAGTGGATGATTTGAGTCCATGTCCTCTGCTGGTGTTGGTACACTGAGATTTCTGAAGTCCACAGTCAACGCAACATCTACCAGGACATTTTAGAGACTTCATGCTTCCTTCTGCTGACGAGCTTCACGGAGATGCTGATTTAATTTTACAACAGGACTCGGCTCCTGCCCGCACTGACAAACGTACCAAAAGCTGGTTCAGTGCCGTGGTGTTGCTGTGCTTGACTGACCAGCAAACACGCCTGACCTGAACCCCACGTAGAACCTCATGGCTGTCGAGAGGAACGTGAGCGGCACCAGACCCAACAAAGCAGATGACCTGAAGGTCACTATTAAAGCAACCTGTGCTTCTTTTACACCTCAGCTGTGCAACAGGTTGGTCATGCCACACTGCTCTGATGCAGTAATTCATGCAAAACGAGGCCCGACCGAGTAGAGTGCATAGAAATGAACAAACTTTTCAGGAGCCTGACATTTTGTTTAGAATATCCTTTTATCTTATGTAATAATCTAATTCTCTGACACTGACTGTTGTTTTTTTCATTATTTGTAAGCCATAATCATCAAAACGACAAGAAATAAAGGCTTGAAATGTTTCACTCTATTTCTATTTCTGAAGTGATTGGTAAATAACTTGTCTAGTATTCCATTTTTTTTTTTAGATGTACCTGTAAATTAGACAATCAACTATCCTGATGCATGCTCAATAATCAACTATAACTGTTGTTTTTTTTTTCCAGACATCCAAAGATGATCTAATCCAAACGGACTTTGAGGGCGCGCTCAAGTTCTTCCGTGTCCCCGTTCCGAAAAGATATCGCTCCGAGGAAAACGCAAAGAAACTGATGGAGCTAGCTTGTAGCATGAAGGTGAGCTTAAAGCAGAGAGATCCATCTTTTTTTTTCTCCATTAATCTGAAAGAAAGACCAAAAAGTATGTGCTGATCTCTTCAAGGCTTTTAGTATTTAGATTATTGTAAAAGCACATCTCATATTGGATCAGTCAGCATTCCTTATTACTAAATTATCAACTTAAAATCAGTGATTTCCTGTATAAATTCTGTACCGTCTAGCAGTACTGCTCTGGTACCAGTAGGGGTCGCTGTTAATCTTCATCCCAGCTTTAACAGATCAAATGCTCACACAGACAGGAGACACACACACACCTCTTACCTAAGCACTCACACCTTGACCTGTTTTCTACAGTCTGGCCCAGTTTAGAGGAACTCACTTTGAAGGTAACTTTGGGCAGAGATGTTTATTATTTTAGTAGAACAGGTGAGCAGCAGAGGAAGTGTACTTTAAATCTCCTCCAGATAAAACAAAAAGAGAACGTAAATCAGAGGACCAGTTGCAAGCTTTTGAAGACGGTTCTCATCTTAAAGGCAGCACTTTTGCACATAAATCAGAATGGGCTCAAAGGAGGAAAAACATGTCTAAAGAATAAATAATTTTGAGTTTACATTGCTTAGCTTTACTGAAATATATGTAAAAAAATTGTTACCGATCGCTATGCTTGAATTGATAGCGTTTGCAACACATGTTTGAAACAGCAGTGTGTATTATTATAATATATATTGGAATTTGTGAATATTTAATTAGAGATACTTTATTACCAATGTTTGGATGGAAGAACTATCTCCTTGATACTCTGTTAACGAAGAAAATCTCCAGTCTGAAAAACTTATATTGCAACAAGTCCTCCCCTCCTGTTTGTCTTTGATCATCACAAAGCACGTGCAGAAATATACAAAGTGCCGCTTGCTAATTTAAAAATCGATTCAGTTTTGTCTAATGAGAAAGGCGTCTGATCTATTGATAAACACATCACTCACACACGAGGATCCACGATGTTCTGCGTTGTTGACTTCCTTTCTAATTAGTAGCTTCTGGGAACCCGTCTGCCTGTGAAGGTTGTGAGAATGAAGACACAAGTCCTGCCTCTCTGTAACTTTTTGTATATTTTCCTCCTACTGCCTGCCTCCTAAATACTGAACAAAGAACAAAATGTACTTTAAAAACACATGCAGACACGTTGTTGGTACTAAACCCAAGATATCAACATCTGGATGTTCAACGCTTTAATTAGATCCAATACAAATCCATACAATTAACCTTATGTTGTGTTAGAGTAAAGTGTTTGGGATTCAGTAGATCTATAATCGGCATGTCATACTTTGTACCTGATTGACTTCAAGAGGATTCACTGCGATTGGTCCAAATTCAGCTCCTGTTCTCTGAAGAAACATCGCAGCCTGAACGCCGCTTGTTTTCTCGCCATTCTGCACCGGAGCACGACAATTAACAGTGCAAAAGTCACTGTTCATCAATGTGATTACTGAAATGAATGATTAGGAATTTGTCTCTGTATTCGGTGGTTAAGGTTTATATAAAGTAACAAGAAAAAAGACGTGAAAAACTTGATTTTCTTCTGTAATGACTCATAAGTTGGGGCTTAAATCAAAAAAATATATACCTACTTGATTAAACATGCAGTAATTACATTTGTACTGCATCCATATTAGTGAAGCAATCCTGTAAATTAATTTTTGTTTAAACTTTGAGCCTTTTGCAGCACACAGCCTCTCGAGGTCGTTTCCACATTCTCTTGATTCAGCTTTTGTTTGTCTTCTGAGATCTCATTATCAGCAGATCTTTCTTTTGAGCCACTACCTTTAGTGTGATTTGAGTTCCTTCCTATAAATAAAAACCCATGTTTCAGTTTTATGTCACTCACTGATGCGTCTCGAGGTCCAACTCCTGGCTCCAGTTAACTTTTCTGGACATCCTGAGCTGGGAGCTGCTGCTTCTAGTCTCTGATGAATGTTCAGATGAGATTTCAGTGATAACTTAGTCATTTGTTTTAAATATTTATTGACAAATGCTCATAAATCATTTCCAAGGGTGCATTGGCCTTCTCGTTATTTCAACTCATGTACCGTATTTTCCGCCGTATAAGTTGTTCCGGTGTATAAGTCGCATCAGTCCAAAAATGTCTCGTAAAGTGGAAAAAATATAAATAAGTCACTTTGCCGTGTAAGTCGTGAGACTGACAAATTTATGCAAAAAACTGTGACTTATACATCAGAAAATATGGTACACATGCAGGTTTATGTGTTTATTAGTTAATTTATCAACAGTGTACAATGTAAATGTACCAGTTAGGCAAAATACTATTTGTTGTTCTGGGAAGTGAACCTACAAACAAACACAAATTTTATAGCATCCATTAAAATTATAATAATATGCAAACCCTGAAATATACATTTATGCAAAACAACCCCACACAAACATCTAAAAGTCACATACATGTAAAACTTTACCACATAAAACACTACAGGTATAACGTCAAAGTTACAAAAAAAAAGTTTTATTTTATTGTTCTTCCGTATTTTCTTTAGTTTAAATGTTCACATCATTTAAATTCATCGTCATTTACACATTTAAATGATTTTCGAAAGCTTTACAAACCAGTGATCACTCCAGAAGTTAAGTAGTGGTTAAAAACGTTCACCAAAGGGAGGAAAAACTCCCCAGTTTTAGCGACTTCAAGTCCCTCAGCTATAACGAACGAGCTCATTTAAATTTCTTCACATCGTCCAAACGTCTCGTTTTATTCTCTCTGCGAAAGATCAACCAGAAGAAACTGAAGAAGTTTGAGAAGGAGTACCACGTCATTCGAGAGCAGCAGGAGCAACAAGAAGCCCCCATTGAACGATATGAGGTAGTCACACACACACAGTACACACACAGTACACACACAGTACACAAAACATGCAGACACTGTAAACAATGTACTGTATACTGTACTGTATATTGACTGTTGAAGGAATAATCTTGGGATATTTTAGAGTTGGACCATTTTGATGTTTTCTTGTCAGCATTTGTCATTTAGTGGTAAATCTGCTGTTAATAATTTACAGAGTCACGGAGGTTTTATTGTCATTTCAGCTATATATAAGTACATGAAACGAAACGGTTCCTCCAGGTGCAACACAGAACATAATATACATAAAAACGCACAAGCTCTGTCCTGTTAAACATTACTTCCTGCAGTTATTCTCTCAGCTGATCACAGTAAACTTTAGCAGTCACACAGTCTTGTTTGTATATTCTTACTTTAGAATCTACCAAGGCGTAGTATAAAAGTGTACACGATTATTTTCAGCTTTGTGTGAGTAACTTTTGCCTTTTCTGCTGTCTCTCCACTTTCCTTCCTCTTTTTTATGGCCCTTCACTTCTCGTTGTCTTGTTCTGTTTCACCATTCTACTCTTTTTTTTTTTTTTCTTGCACCATCTTTGTGTTTTTGTATTTCTCTCTTTCTTGCTTTTTTTTTTTTTTAAACAATCTTACGTTTCTGTTCAACCCCCTTTATTTTCTCATGTCTACTTCTCTTTGACCCTCTCTGTCCAGCGAGAGAATCGTCGTTTGCAAGAGGCCAACATGCGTTTGGAGCAGGAGAACGACGACCTGGCACACGAGCTGGTTAGCAGTAAGATAGCCCTGCGCAAAGACCTGGACAACGTAAGCCAAAGAGAAACGATAAGTTTGCATAATGTGGCTCTCTTTTTGCAAAAACTTTTAGTTGAAGTATGTTGTATAAAATATTTGGTGATCTTTGAGCCAGAACTGTGGTCTAACACAAAAGCTTGATTTATTTAATGTGGGTTTGTAAGACAGGCTGCAGATATTTTTGACCTACCTTTATAAAGAAGCCCAGTAGAGAGAAAAGTAGGAGCAATCTAACTTTCAGTGACCTTGTCAGCATTTGGGTCTCATGCCCTGTGTGTGTTTGGTGTGTTTTTGTGCGGTTGTCAGGCAGAGGAAAAGGCAGACGCCTTGAATAAAGAGCTGCTGCTGACGAAACAGAAACTGGTCGAATCTGAAGATGAGAAGAGACGGCTGGAGGAAGAATCTGCACAGGTCAGAGCAAAAACATCGCTCCGTTTGTGTTTCTTTTTGGAGAAAAACATTTTTTAACACTGAAGTTGACGTCTAAGTACATTACTGTGCAAAAGTTTTCGCTCGTCCCTTTATTTCTCTACATTTTTTGTTTCAAAGAGACACATTAGTGTTTTTAATTGGTCAGAAAAGATGTTTTTTGGGCTTTGTTTTTGTCCCTTATTAAAAAGCCCTTTGTTATCACTAGCTATGTTTACATGGTAATCGGATTAAGCGACCATTCGGAATAAAAATGTCATGTAAACGCCCCATTCGGATTATTTTTTGTTGATTCAGCTCGATCTGAAAGACTTTGTAATCAGAATGAGACGGGTGGTTTATGCTGATTCATAATCCGAACAGTGTGCATGTAAACAC